GGCAATTGTTTACCAAGGTATTCCGCCAGGATCGATCTTGCATTGCATCCAATAGCACTTTGCCCCCACCTAAAAGACATTTCCTACCTCCATCGCGAAAGAATTCCGCTAAGTAAAGTAATCGCGATATCAAGTATGTGGGGATCTTTTAAATGTACTTTGCAATAGGAAAACAAAAATCAAACAAACTAAAACCCTCAAAAGCAAAATTATACCTTTTCCAGATCTGAGGATTAACAGTGAAACTTCAAATGTTGTAAGGGTAATTTTCAGAATAAATCAGGCTATAAGTTATTTTCATGCCATAGGAACTTAATCCACATTTGGCTAAATTTATGCCCCCTATATCATGTAAATTAAACAAAACAATCAACCAAGAACAGCCAATGCTTTATTCAAACTTCAAACTGATGTACTCTTGAAATTAAATTCAGAGATTCTCAAGTGTGAAATATGGCCCCATGGTTCCTTTTGCAATTACATAAATTTTATCAAATTCGTTGGCAATCAAAGGTTGGCTTACTTACCCATTAGAGACATGCTAATTATTTTTACTTATTTAATGAGTCGTACAATAAATTTGAAAATACAATCTGACACAAAGATATTTACTTCAGCATTTCAGGGATGGAGATTTGGATTGATGTACCTCTTGCTCATGCATTCTGCACTTCTAGGCTATAACCATTAGAAATAAAGGAATTGATAATTTTATTTACCTGTGGTTTGGGTACATAAAGGGTAGACTGGTGAATTAAGGAAAATGACAAATTAATGCTCAATGCAAGTTAAAGAACATAAGCTGCTGTATGCTATAAACAGTTGCTTAAATTGTAGAAATTCTCATCTTTTAGCTTTGGTAAGTATTTAAAGTTATTAGCTCTAGGTATGCTGTGACCCGGAAAAATGGTAATTGATCATTAATCATGTAATATTAATTTTTCATTTTCAACTACTTACAAGGTCAATTAAATAAGGTTTTAGATAAAAAGGATATACTTTAAAATTCACAAAATATAATGGAAAAAATATTCCAGCTTTTTACTTGTGTTAACTGAAAATTTTCACTGCTTTAAGCTTTAGGCATACCTGAATTTTATGTTCATCAGTGGATTACATTGTTTTAAGCTAGCATTTTTACTACAAATAATTGATATTCATAAAAACTATTCTTGATAAATTTATTTTATTGGTTAGACAATAAAGTTCATGGAATATTCACATCAGATGAGAATTCAAAACCATCAGGGTTAAAAATATTACTGAAATTAACTTTGGTCATTCAAATTCATAACTCATAGATTGGGGAGAGACATGCCATACATTCAATTTTTTTTTTTTTTGGGGGGGGGGGGGTTAGTGTTATTTGTGTCTGGCTCTTAAGTTGGAAATAATTCTTTAGGAAAAATATAAATTGGATAGGGATTTCAGTAGAAAGAGTGTATTATACACTTACTAGAATGAGTTGTATGAGGCTATTGATCATGACTTAGGAGTATAACAAAATTTGGATTAATTCAGTAAGATTTATTATTTGCATGATACAGTGTACTAAGGTTATCAAGCAAGTACATGCAAATTTAAACTGATTGTACATGTAGTCGGCTTATTTAAATGACCAAAACATATATCTTTGTTCAGCAGTCAATTATTGATAAACAAGAGGCAACTATGTAAAGGACTTAAATTTATGGAATTGATTTCATTACTACATAAGGTCCACCTGTTTGAATATACAAAGATTTCACCAATTGATGCGATGTATTTCACAATGGCATTTTTCTGGGACCTAAATAAATTTAGTATTATATCAGACATCTAAACTTAATATTAAGCATGATGTTAGCCAATGGATTTCAATCGAGATACACAAATCATAGAGTCAATTTAATTTTATGGCTTATCCTATATTAAACAAAACAGTGCAAACCACTAGTTATAAGATCCAGGGCTAGAAACATTTAAGTCCAACCCATTGGAAGTTCACAAACATCTTCAGTCAGGGAAAATTTTAAGAAATACAAAGCTATTTAATTGTTATTGATGGATTAGAAATTAAAGCATTTGTCAAAATCTTCCACTAATTATAGTAGATTCATGCCAGGTAAACATATCATTTATCCAGAAACCACAGCAAAATTCCATTTCTTAGACTTTGGCTCCAATGCATATAGTTAAAATGATTCACAGTACACTACTTTTAGGTGGCAAAAGGAATAATTAAAATACACATGGAAAGGGTTTTTGCTCTGTGTGTGAGCCATTTATTAGTAATACGTGTACAGTAAAACTCGTTTAGTACGAACACGGATATAGCGAATTTACGGATATAGCGAAGTCATTTTGGATCCCCAGCTATATGAATTTCATGTATTTCTTATACGGTTATAACGAATTACAGATTTAGCGAAGTGATTTCATAGGTCCCAGCGACTTCGTTATAACCGAGTTTTACTGTACTTGTTGTCACAGCTCATACAAATAGGTTGGGTGAGAAACATTCATAAGAATAAAATTAAAAACTGATATCAAGATCCCATTTGGAGTCATAGTTTGGAGTAAAACGTTGACTGCTCTGCTGTAACACCCTGTGTTACATGTAATACAGGTGATTACTTAAAGCCTGGAGTCAATGCTCAGATATAAGGCAAACCTTATTTTATTACAATTAACATGATTTATTTCCATAGATAATCTTACACGGTAAGTTAAATAGGTTTTCTAGAACTATTGTTTGAAACCAGCCAGAATAAATTCATACATGCTGTTGTCGAATTGAAAAGGGTAGAACAGGATCAGCCATTTTTATGACGGGACAATATTTTGTCCACATATAAATGTTTCTTTAAGTTTTATTACATGTAATTCATCATGTATAATATAAATTATGACACAAATTGCATATTTTTAGTCTAATTAGTATACACACGTAATCAACTTAGGAGTTATGGGGATCTAGACTTATTTTCAGGGGGGGGGGGGGGGGGCTATTTCAGTTTCCCAAGTAAATAGGTGACAGTGGCGGATCCAGAAATTTTATAAAGGGGGCCCGACGAGTTTGAGGTCAGGGTGGGGGCCCACAGCCACACCAAATAAATATCGATATTAAAATATTGTGAACTTTTGGACTAAAAAGGGGGGAGGCACTGGCTCCCTGAGCCCTCCCCCCTCTAAATCCGCCACTGGGTGACATTTAGGGCGGTTGGTCGTGGGTCGGTTGAATGCGGCTTCCCCATTTTGTGGGGTGACCAAAACCTGTGAATTTCATAGGTTTCGGCCATGTGGCGTTTGCGCCGCGCCATTCAACTGATGCTATAATTCATTGTGATGCTGCTGCTTAAAACAAACTCATTTACTGTGAAAATGTGTGCTGCTTTCAACAAATTCATGAATTGGTCTGCTTTGATTGATTGAAACAAACTCAATTGCTGTGCAAAATGTGTACTGCTTTCACCAAATGTCATGGACAGTGCTTTGCTTGCTAAAATATCTTAAGTAACGTTCGCGGTTTGATAACCCGGAACGATAACTACATACATATAAACTTGTAAAGTTTATTTAAAATACATGTACATAAAATTTAATTGTAAGGTTAATTACCGTTTGCGGTAAACCCGGAACGGCCATTGTTTTGCTTATTATAGTACATGTACATGTAATATTTTGCTTGATTGTTGTTGCTGCTTGTTGAAATTGTTTGGGGTCGCCCTGCTTGGCACCCCCTTTGTTGCTTAAGCCACGACCAACAATCGCCAATATATTAAAATAAACGTGTACAAAATCATGTTTGTTTTATTTTCCTCTATATAAATAATAGCATCTATTTATTAAAGAATAGATGCCTTTATTTTATGAGGAAAACTTTGTTGCTGCTATTTGAGTTGGGTTAGCTATAAATTAGATCGGGTTCGGGATATCTCAAATTCCCCCTCTTTGCCCTGGATCCTAAGAACGAAAGGTATACGATTTTTGTAGCAGACAGAATTTTCAAAAAATATGCTTTCAATCACGATTGCTTCTTAAATCCCAACCCATCCCATCCCATATTTTAGAATTAATGGTGAATATACAGCTTGATATTAAATAATTATTTATTAAAGAAGTCTTTGTCTGCTGTTGGGGTTTTCTCTATCTTTTCAGGATTGACTGGAACATTGACTACACTTGGAAGATCCTCGTCGTGGCATTCCATGGGCCTGACCTTGTATGCTGTAATTTTGAGTGCATGTTTATCCTCGCTCGTAGAGTCCTTGATGACATTCCATTGAATTACAATTTGTTTTTCCCCTTGTCGTCTCAAGATTCAGTTTGCGCCGCGCCATTCAACTGATGCTATAATTCATTGTGATGCTGCTGCTTAAAACAAACTCATTTACTGTGAAAATGTGTGCTGCTTTCAACAAATTCATGAATTGGTCTGCTTTGATTGATTGAAACAAACTCAATTGCTGTGCAAAATGTGTACTGCTTTCACCAAATGTCATGGACAGTGCTTTGCTTGCTAAAATATCTTAAGTAACGTTCGCGGTTTGATAACCCGGAACGATAACTACATACATATAAACTTGTAAAGTTTATTTAAAATACATGTACATAAAATTTAATTGTAAGGTTAATTACCGTTTGCGTTAAACCCGGAACGGCCATTGTTTTGCTTATTATAGTACATGTACATGTAATATTTTGCTTGATTGTTGTTGCTGCTTGTTGAAATTGTTTGGGGTCGCCCTGCTTGGCACCCCCTTTGTTGCTTTAAGCCACGACCAACAATCGCCAATATATTAAAATAAACGTGTACAAAATCATGTTTGTTTTATTTTCCTCTATATAAATAAATGTAAAACATGCGGGAGCAGTCTAATGAATAAACTGCAAATCATTTCTCCATATGAAGTTCATGTATTTTATAAGACCAAAAGATATTTTAACGAAATTGATGATATTTGTTTATACAAAAGAAACAAAGCTATCTGAGTAACTTCAACATTTATTACAGGTTTCTCTCCCTGGAAAGTGTTTGGGAAATCCCAGTATCTACATGTCAAGAGAAACATTAGATGGCTAGACGCTCAGGTAACTATGATAAACCAAGATGTTTAAATGTACACATGTATAATAATATTTCTTACAATCTAGTATAAGAGTGAAGCATTTCATTTTTATCTAGGATTAGATGAAATATATGTAGATAATAAATGAACAGTATTCAAACTCAAAGTTCATTAAACAATACAAAATAGGAGCAGAGCAAAACGGACTTCTAAAACATTAGAGGTAGGATCAGGTGCCATGGAGGAGTGAGCATCTCCTGCCAACTGGTCACATCCGTCGTTAGCTCCTTGTCATGATTGGGAAATAAAATGTATTTAGAAAATTTTATAAAGGCATCTTGAAAAAGAAATGTTTTAAACTATGCTTTTTATATGACTTCCAGATTGATATAAGAAAAATTTGGCTTTTTCGTTTTTAAAAATGCTTAAAGCACTTTTCTTCCTGTATTCGGACATTACTTAAACAAGATTCTAAATCTGTTTTCTCTGATTTAGATACTATTTTACTGTTAATCTTTTAATTGCATAATCTTGACACCAGCTATTGGCTGGTGAAAGAACATCTTCAACATTTTTTTCTAAGAAGAAGAATTCCAATGCTATTTTTTCTTCCTTTTTACCTGAACCCAAAGCTCAAGTAAGCTTTTCTGATCACAATTTGTCCGTTATGTGTCGTCGTCGTTGTTGTCGTTAACTTTTAACATTTTCGACTTTTTCTCAAGAACCACTTGGCCAGTTTCAACCAAACTTGGCACAAAGTAGCCTTAGGTGAAGGGTATACAAGTTTGTTTAAATGAAGTTCCATGCCCTTATTCAAGGGGAGATAATTCAGAAATAGTGAAAAGAACAAGGTTCACGTTTGCCTTACTTGGCCCTGTGAATTTCTCAAAAACTGAAACTGCATAGTTTTATTTAACAATGCATAAAATATCATTTAGATTTTTGGTTACGGCGAATCTATCAAAAATGACGTCATTTTCTGGCTAGTCAATGCATTATGATGTCACCAAATGCGTCAATTTCCTCATATTCTGAAAAAAATGTACAAAAACGGCCAATTTTTAAAGCTACTTTTTGATATTTGATATAGAGCGCAACCTCTAATCTAAAATTTGCAACTAGTAAATGAAGTGTTTCTGAGGACTTTTAGACATTTTTTTATTATTTAGATCAGAGAGTGCGCTCATATCATTTTTCTTCACTGAAAGTACCCAATTATACCTGTTTACCTAAAAATTCAAGAACATTGCAATTTAATAAAGCCAGTTCTCCTAGACCTGGGCTTTTAGAAGAATTTTTTTAATAGGATATGAAAGCACTAAGTCTCTATTTTATTTTAATGCTTCAAATAGAAAATCAAGTGTTGATCAATTTATTGGTATATCTACAAGGCCATTTTATGCATAAAGTGAACCGACTTCTTTGATGGTATGTTTTAAAAATCTTTTTCGCAAGAACCACTGTGCCAGGAAAGATGAAACTTATAGGGAGGCATCCTCAGGAAGTGTAGATTCAAGTCTGCTCAAATCATGACCCCCTGGGGTAGGGCGGGGCCACAATAGCCTATCAAAGTTTAACAAAGAAATATTTAGGAAAATTCCTATAAAATCTTTCAAGGACCACTGTGCCAAAACAGATGAAACTTATAGGGAAGCATCCTCAGGTAGTGTAGATTCAAGTTTGTACAAATCATGATCCCCGGGGGTAGGGCGGGGCCACAATAGTAGATCAAAGTTTTACATAAAAATATATAAGAAAATTCTTTGAAAATCTTCTCAAGAATAGCAAAAGCGTGAATTATCATATTTTTCTGAAAGCATCCTCACGTAGTGGACATTCAATTTTATTCAAATCATGACCCCTGGGGTAGGGTGTGGCCACAACATGGAATCCTAGCTTTACATAGAAACATGTAGATAAAATCTTTGAAAATCTTCTTTAAAGAATAGCAAAGCCATGATTAGTCATATTAATATGGAAGCATTCTCAGGTAGTGTAGATTCAATTATGTTCAAGTCATGACCCCTGGGGGTAGGACGAGGTCACAATGTAAGTTCAAATTTAAAGGGCAATAAAGCCACAGGTAGTCAAATTTGCAAGCATCCTTAGAGTAGATTAAAGTTTGCTCATATCATACCCTCTCCCTTTTACGGATTGGTTGGGACCACTTTTGGGTTTAAACTTTTTAAAAGTTAAACTGATTTCTGTTTTTTTTCCTAGCCACAATTCTCAGGTGAGCGATTTGGCCCATGGGCCTCTTGTTTTCTTTAATATGACATCAAATAAAACATGATATTGTTCTTACGTTTCATTTCAAATTTAAAGATATAATTAACACTATAGATTTAAAAGACAGTTATAACGGTAACCGATATTGTGAAACATGTATGCTAGTTTATGTTTTATAGTTTTAAGATTTAATTTGCATTACAAGAATACATGTCAAAATGACGTGAAAAACATTATTATTGTAAGAACACGTGAAAATTATTGAATACCTAATGAGTTCTTCTTTCAACAGCTGACCAAAACAATATGAGTTTTCGATTTTCGACTTATCTTATTTTTTATATTGCGTATATTGTAACATTGATTTAAAAATCGGACAATTACTACATATTTTAATAAAAAAAAAGGTGTATGTTACGATATAATATTGATAGAAAATTCAGAAAATCAGTACAACTTTGTAAACAAGACAAAAACGCAAACCACAGGAAAAATCTAAATTTGGATAAGGTGACAAAGAGGGGTAAACATCTCCTGTTGATCAGTCACTCCGGCAATGAGCCCTCTATAATAATAACTTCTATCATCAACTTCTCCTATTTACGTAGCAGTTGCTATTAGCACGTGTCTTGAATCTTTGTTATTAATATAAAATATGGGGAACACGTTCTTTTACAAACAATTTCAACAAACTCTATTGTCGACACCATTACTTTGTTTGCAAATACAATTTGCCGATAGGTTGCATTTTGACTGATTCCTTTCAAATAAGTAAAATTCTTCAGCGAGAAATTTCATAGTGATTTATCTAAAACGTTTCCGTTTTCTTCCTCTTATCGCAACTGATTCAATTTCTGTTTAAAGAGTCTGTACTTTGCTATTCTCGCAATTCATGGAAATCCCGTATATAAAAATGTAATATCCCAACTGATTTAATGATATCGAAATGTTTGAAGTTCCCTGCAAATATATCAGCAACTTACAAAAGAAAAAAAGTAAAGAAAATAAAAAACAAGGTTTAAAAGAAATGAATTTTTATCAACAGCTTGAATGTCTAAAACTTGGGGCAAAATTAGCAGAAATAGAGACCTTGGAAGAAAACATCTTTCTAAAGAACATGACAAGGGAAAATGCTTATGGTAAGATCATTTTTGGTAAAGTACATGTATGAGAATTTCATGAAACAAAATATACACATGTAGATTTACCTTCTTGGTCATTATATGTAAATACAGTTGCTAAATTGTTTTATTCTACATTTTTGATTAAGGTTTTTGTCTGAATTTTCAACAAATTGCTAAAAGTGTTTTTTTTTTCTTGCTTCAAATTGAGTGTAATTAGCCAAGTCTGTCATGAAATCATTTAAAAAGATTCTTAGACAAATTAAACACATTTAAAAAGAAACATAATTTTGATTTGTTAAAGGCGACACATTAATCGGAGGGACAGATGCCTACTCACAGCACAGATGGAGATGGTCAACAACATTTAAAGCAGTGACGTACACTGACTGGGCACCGAACAAGCCTGATTTCTCGGAAGGCGATGAATGTATGTCTTTAACTGCTAGGTTTGACATGTCGTGGGATGATTGGCAATGTGATCGATATCAAGAATCCTTCATGTGTGAGCGGTTAATTGAATGAACGAAAAAAAAGAAGAAAATTAACAAGAACTTGTTTGTATGAACCTAGCTAGGAAGATCTATATTGTCTGTAAATTTTGTTTATTTTAATATACATTTGTCGGATCAGATCTTCAATGTAATCAAAAGCTGAAAAATTTAATCTGTGCACACACTAACTTTAGTTTACTCATATGGAAATTCCTGATCTAGAGGTGGTTTCAGATGTGTAGAGGCAGAAAACTCTCTCTCTCTATTGTTAGCCTGCCTCGGTTTAAGGACTGGGCATGAAAATAGAGCATGATATTGCTTATAGAATAAGTGACAATAAGAGACAAAAATCAAATACAAGAGATAGAGAAATACTTCTACAGAATTAGCAAAGGTAGACGATGGAAATGCTGAAGTCAACTTGTTTGAAAATAAAAAGAATCCAAAAATGAAACAGATGTGGAAGACTCCGTGGCGGGTTTATTTGAAAATACCTGATATACGAGGGTTGTCCCAAAAAGTCGTAGACATGGAAAACAGTTTATTTTTTTTCTTTGTTGAATTAAATTTCTTTTCTTCTGATAACAAAAAGTAACATGTTATTATCATGTATTTCAAATTTTATGATGATCTCACATTTAATAAGAAAATTATGAAAAAATAAAAAAAAGCATGAAAGTGTTCATCGGTGCACGAAAGCAAGTGTATTTTACTTCTCTTATAACAACATGATCTCTTTTTCTGCTTCACACGCGTCTATTAACATTCAATAATTTTTTTTTTTTAAAGTGAAAGACCACTCTAGGCTAAGGGACTTATTTAAATTCATTACTGTCCGGTTTTTTGTTGTTGTTGTTTTTTTTAAGCAGATTCAAATTTTAGTCAAAATTTAGTCGAAAGATTGCCAAACATTGTAGGTAGCAGAGAATACACATTGTTTGACATCGTTCGTGGCCCAAATTGTTCCCCACTGTCTGCGTGCCATAACAAACTGTACTCTACTTTTTATATGTTGTAACTTATTTCGGTATAGAGGAAAAACTCTCATTGAATCTCGTGCCATTTAAAAATAACTTCTCGATTAAAATCTAATGTGTAATGTACTTTTTTCCCCGTCTCTGATGTATACAAACCATATTCAAAACAATTTATTACATATCAGTGCACCGGTTAAGCGTTTGACGACGTCATTTTTATCAAACTCAATTCCAACAACACTTTGAAAATCATGACACCAAAATTTAGATTTTGATTTCACTGATTCAAATTTGAGTTCAATGTTTTACATAGTACTTCAGAAATAAAAGCAAATGTAATAGTTATATGCGTAAAATATTCCGAATTTTGTTCGTGCGCCGACATACCTTTTCGACCATCATTTAAATCGTCCTAACATCATCAATATGAAAGATATATATTTAAAAATGTACAATTTTAAAGAACATTGAATATATTATGTCTATGCAAAATTTGGTTAGTATTGGTTGTATGTTTGTCATCTCCCTCGGGAGATGACACATTAAGATTATATGCCGGAAGTGAAGTCCTAGACAGTGTAAGCCTCCATTAATCTTTCGGGAGTCCTCGATGTTTTACAGAGTTCCAAGTAGCCTGTAAACTGGTTTTATTTTAGAAGAAGTAGCTTAGGAGTTTGTGATCTACTTTCGGTTTAGGCCTATTTGAAAGCCAAGGAAAATTTAGAAAAGAAGTACGATGCTTATAATTATCTATAGTTTCGGTGTGTCGTATATATATTGATCCTCAGTACTATGCCTTATTAAATGGGTAAGCCACACAAGGAGAATTGACAATGACGTGATTTCTATATATAGATTTGTAGACGATTCTGCAAAAAATGAAGTGGTCAACGCTAATTTTATGTTATTTTTTTAGTCTGTAATTGGATTTATTAAATCAATTCCTGTCAAACTTTAATGATTAGCTGCTTTTAAATGAATGATAATTATTGTTGATAATTCCGTATTGCGTTAACAAAATATAGTTCAGGAAAGTATTTGAATTTAAGTAAATTGTAAATTGTAAATACCCAGAACCACAAAGACCCCTAGAATGAAATTTCACCAAAAATCGCCTTGGGTGCTCTCGCAGACGTCCATGCTTTCCATATATATACTGCGGCCAAAAGAAACTACTTTACTGTGGTGTTTGCTGAATAAGCCATTTGGGAACTCCAGGTGTAATAATCCATATATTCATTGCATTAAAATATCTTCCTAAGCCCTTTCTGTTTTATTTCTTTGACATTACTGATACCAAAGAGATGACATTTCAGGCTTTCTGGAAAGCCAAACTTGTTTTAAATTATAATCATTGTCTACGACTTTTGGGGACAATCTTCGTATATCTAGTCGTTAAAAACATAACATAAACATAAAAACATAAACATATAATGTGTAAAACAACTGAATTGGTCATTTCTAATTTCTAATATCGACCTATCAGCTCGTGTTCGGGTAATACCCAGGAGGTTTTGCCACGAGAAGATATGTTTTGCTTGTCCTGTAGTAACGTGGGCGGCGCCAATTCACATACAGCATTCATAATTTAAGTTGTAAAATATATGTTGGGTGAATTCAACATACATCAGATAACCTAGTAATTACACATGGATTGGACACAGTTCACCATCCATCGTACAAACGGTAATGGCCCGGAAAAATGTCGTAGCATTGACTCGGTGCTTTGATATTACTTAATAAATACTGAAATATCTTTATGTTTTATTCAAATATTAACCTTTTAGTTGAATGTGATTGAATATGTCTACCACACAGTGGAATGATTTTAGTTGCATCATATCGTATAAAAGAAAGTCTTTACAGTGCTAGTTATATTGCCATCTCCTTCTTTGTCTAAAAAGGGTTAAAATATTCTGACTTGTATAAACAAATCGAGTCGATATTTAGACGTCATATATCGATTATTTGTATTTTCATTGAAAAATAAGAGTTTTCATTGTTTTTGGCTAAAAAAGCTGTCACATGGATTCTGTATAAAAATGGATGCGTTTAGCCATGTCGGAAAATGTCCAATGTTTGATTAGGGACCAGGCAAAATTTATCACAGTGATGGGACCGGTACAAATAGGCATTGGACAATGAGTTTTTTCATCCAAGAAAACCATGGGGCTAAAACATTTTCACCATTAAATACCAATGGGACACAAACTTTTTTCCCAATAATTTACAGTACTTTTTCCAAGAGAAATTCATTCAATTGAAAAATATTAATTACTTTAAGACATATCTTTAAAACTCAAGCGAAGGCTAAAAGCAACACGAATATTCAGTTAATGGAAAATATTACAAAGTGACAAGCATTCCTAACAAGGAATATGAAAATGAACACTAAGAAAACAATATCGATGTTTAAAATATCTGTATTCTGAAAAAAAATCATAAGTTTTTGATGCAATAATCTCATTAAATCAAGATGTATCGGGGGTAACTTTTTTATAAGTCTAAAGGCATGGGACAGATATCTATTTTAACACGAGTGTCATGGGACACGTACTTTTTTGAAAAGAGAATTTTGTTTTGTACTGGTCCCATCATTGTGATAAATTTTTCCTGGAACCTTAATTTGTGTCCATGGTATATGTACGGTGAAATGAAGTAACAGACAAATCTAAAAAATATACAAAAATTTAATTTAAATTTCGTTAAAAATTTTGTAAAATTACACATCATTGATAAATTTCACCTACCTTGTTAGACTTGTTGGTTGAAGTCCAATCAAAAGAACGACAACTCTTAAAACTTTCAAGGTCACTCCCGTGATACTTTTATCATGATAACATGAAAACATCGATGTAGCTATCAACTGTCGCCTGGAATAAAAGTAAACAATGGAAATAAGTCTTGATCATCAAACCACTTCGATTTGCTGAGTTGCCCGCGTGGCACAGTAGATAGAGCGTCTGCTCTAGAGTCGCGAAGTAATGAGTCGATCCCTTTAAAGTCATCGGTTCGAATCTCACTGTTACGTGGAGACTGGTCCTTCGGATGAGAGCGTATAAACCGAGGCCCCGTGTCGTAGTAGGTGCTATCACGAAAAAGATCCCTTACTGCTCAATGGCCCTAAGTGCCGAGCATAGGAAAATATTGTAGCTCTTCAACGGCAAATGGTGGCGTCTCCATATGAGTGAAAATTCTCTAGAGGGACGTTAAACAACATACAATCAATCAATAAAACATATGGAGATAACGAACAGTATTTAAGATCAAAAGTCCATAAATATGCAAAATATTAGCAGAGCAAACACGAACCTCCAAAACATCGGAGGTGGGATCGGGTGCCATGGATAAGTGAGCATCCCCTGCCTTTCGGTCACACCCACCGTGTGCTCCTTGTCATGATATTTTATAAATTCTCAGCTTTAAGACAGAAACAGGAAAAACACAGAAACACTCAGCTTTAAAGAAAGTCAATTGCTTTAATTTGTCCGAAGCAATGTATTTCCGAAGCAAGTTTAACTCACCCTATACTGTATAGGGAAATTTTTGCCATCGAATTATTTTCCTCCTTTAACACTTCTCACGGCTGGGTGACTTTAAAATGTTTAAAATGGGGCAAAATAAAAAGAAATTATTAATCCTGTTTACAGAAATGGAACTAGACGAATTTAAAATTGTCTACAAGTGTGAATTGGCGAAAATAAGATAAGGCAAAAATAAACCTATTAAGTATATTTTCCTTTTAACAATTATCCCAGGATCATATTTTATCTAGCTTTAGTCCCTTTTTAATGTTTACCAGGTTGGCCACACTTCCCTTATTAACCATTTGTTGATGCAAATCAATCATCTTTCATGTGTGAGCGTTTAATTGTTTGAACACAAAAAAAATTAATAAGATCTTATCAGTATGAACCTACATGTAGCTAGAAAGACCTATACATGTATCTTCTATAAAATATGTTTATTATTATAGACATTTGTCGGATCAGATCTTCAATGTGACCCAAAGCCGAATAAAATTAGTGCACACACTATCTTTAGTTTACGCATATGGAAAGAGCAGAGGTGGTATCAGGGGCTTGTTTCTCAAAAAGACTTAAGACCAGCTTAGTCCAGACTAAACTAAGAACTTAAAATCGGACTAGGTTGCGTTTCACAAAAAGGTCAATATTTAGCTATAGGCCGAGACTAAATCTTGGCTTAAATCTACACCCGCTCTTGGGCAGGCGTAAGTTCTTAATCTGTGTACAATATTTTTTTTT